TACACACATCCTACAACTCAACAACAAAAACCAAACAACCTGATTTAAAAATGGGCAAAAAACTAAAATAGATATTTCCCCAAAGAAGATGGACAAATGGCCAATAAGTACATGAAAAGATGCTCAACATTACTAATAATTATGGAAATGCAAATCAGAGCCCAAACGAGATACCACTTCACCCCCATTAGGATGGCTATTATAAAAACAACAACAAAAACCACCAAAAAAAAAAAAAAATTATAAGAAGTGTTGGCAAGGATGTGGAGAAATTGGAACCTTTGTGCTTTGCTGGTGGGGATATAAAATAGAACAGCAGCTGTAGAAAACAGTACAGTAGTTCCTCAAAAAATCAAACATAGAGCTACCATGTGATCCAGAAATTCTACTTCTGGGTATACACCCAAAACAATTAAAAGCAGGAACTCAAATGGGTATTTGTACACCAACACTCGTAGCAGCATTATTCACAATAGTCAAAAGGTGAAAACAACCCAAACGTCCATCAACAGATGGACAGATAAACAAAATGTGGTATAGACATATAACGGAATATTATCCAGAAAAAGAATGAAATTCTGACACATGCTATAGCATGGATGAACCGTGAGGACATTACACTAAGTGAAATAAGCCAATCACAAAAGGACAAATACTGTATGATTCCACTTATATGAGTTAGCTACAATAATCAAACTCATAGAGACAGAAAAGAGAGTGGTGGTTGCCAGGGACTGGGAGAGGGTAAGACAGGGAGTTACTATTAAATGGCAACAGAGATTCAGTTTGGGAAGATGAAAAAGTCCTGGAGATGAATGGCATTATTATTAACAATAATGTTAATGGCAATACCACTAACTTACATACTTAAAAATGGCTAAAATAGTAAATTTTATCTTATGTACACTTTGCCACAATAAAAAACACACACATATACACACACACTTGTATTGCATGGACTACCTCCGAAAGAATTAAAGAAACTTGTAACAAATTTTGTCTTTAGAAAGGGGAACTGTATAGCCAGGAGTTAGAGGTGAAAATATTTATTTATCACTATACATTCTTTGTACCTTTAGCATTTTCTCCCATGTGCATATATCATCTATTAAAAAATTGAACATTCAATCAATCTTATTGATTGATTTTTAGGCAAAGAGCAGAAAAATGTATGTAAGTGATAATGTATTATGGCTTATGTTTTGTATGAGGCAAAATCAAAATGGCCCTAATTAGTGATACTAAAAGCCTGCCCAATGTTTTTCAAGGAGCTAGCCTTTCAAAAACTAATTAATTAGGAAAATGAAATGCTTCAGAACTTAAAAAGATCAACACAAAACACACAGAAATATGTAAAAAGTTCTTACGAGGGGCTTGCTATGCACAATACAACATTGCTCATCCAGATTAAATAGGGAAAAACAAGTATTTTGACTTCTTCAAGAATATAAAGTGGAATATTAATAATAATTAATAATAATAATTATTTATTTTATAATAATTAATAATAATATATAATAACTAATAATAATATTGTTTCTAAGCTTTAAATCCAAAGCTAATTTGTTCCAAGCAAATACTGTTCTAAGACCTTTAAAAATGTCTACTGACAACAGGAATTTGTCAAACTTTTTCGTCTCTGAACCCTTTTACACTCTTCAAAATTACTGAGGTCCTTAAAGAGCTTTTTTTCATATGAGTCATATGGGTCTATATTTACCATATTAGAAATTAAACCTTAAATTTTAAAAATACGTATTTATTAATTCATTTAGAAATAATAAACCCATTATATGTTTACATAAATAACACCACTTCTATGAAACTATATTTTCCAAAACAAAAAATAAATTTAGTTAGAAGAATGGCATTGTTTTAGATTTTTGGAAATCTCTTCAATGTCTGGCTTAACAGAAGATAGCTGGATTCTCTTATCTACTTCTGCATTTGATCTCTTGTAATATTACACATCATATAGGCTTTGAAAAACTCCAATATATGCTCGTGAAAAAAATTAGAACAAAAACAGCAAATACTGTCTTAAATGTATTACAAAAATAGTTTTGATTTCACAGACCCCTGTTTTAGGGACACACACACACACACACACACACACACACACACACACACACACGTCTCCAAACCACACTTTTTGAACTCACAGCTCGCCCCGTGCATCTCTTCATCTGTATCCTCTGTAATATCCTTTATAGCAAACAGGTAAACCTAAGTAAGTGTTGCCCTGAGTCCTGTGGGCCACACAGCATCAAACCCGAGGAAGGGGTTGTGGGGACCCCAATTTATAGCTGGTTGGTCAGAAGTTCCAGAGGCCTGGGCTTGTGACTGGCATCTAAAGTGGGGGTGGTCTTGGAGACGGAGCTCTCACCCTGTGGGATCTGACGCTGTCTCCAGGTGGACAGTGTTGGAATTGAACTGAATTAGAGGACACCCAGCTGGTGTCCACTGCAGAACTGCTCAGTGTGGTTTTCTAAAAACCTCCACACATCAGTGTCAGAAGCGTGCTGGGAGAGAGAGCATTGCGGGAGAAACCAAACTCAGTGGACTCAACTAGTATCAGACCGTAAGGTAAAGCAACAGGTCAGAATGCAGCCCAAATGAGATCTAATTATACAGGCTGGCTACTTAGCTCAGTTGGTTAGAGCGTGGTGTTGATAGATCTAACTATACAAAATGTAGCATACTACACAGTAGGTCAAACAATTCAAGAAGCAAATAAAATAAACTGTTGAGTAATTTGGGGGAAGAAAGTCTATTTAGACCTTCACTTTTAGTCATATGCCAGAACGAAGTCCAGACAGACTAACTGCTCTTACAAATGGAGAGAGCGCCAAGGCTGGGCAAGGCAGGAGCAGACCTTAATCTTCACTGCATTCTCAGAGCCTCCCGAGGGCCAGCGCACAGTCCACTTGGAAACGCTGCCCAACATAAGAAACCAATGTGAGTGTCCACTCGGCTGCTAACCCATCCTGTGACCCTGGGCAAGCTGTTTTGCTTCTCTGTCCTTAGTCTCCAGTTTATAAGAGTGGATGGTAATGCTACCAGCAGCATGAGAATGCTCAATACAAACTTTAGAGTGCTATACAAATTAACATAAGGAATAAAAATTAGAAAGTGGCATCCATCCGTGTTGCTACTCCCCACGGCTTAGCATTAATATTTTAATGCTAAAAACATTGCCAATTTTCTTAGTATACCTCTTTATTTAATAAGGTAGACCACTTGAGTTATAAGAACATATACTTTCCCTCAGGGCTTCACTAAAGTTATTTTAATTTTGAATGGGAAAAAGATGCAACCCATAAACGTGTTTATTTTTCCTGAATTGGCTCTTTTACCAAAAAAAAAAAAGGCCTGGCATTACTGTTCTAAAGGACGTGGGAGATTTTCTTTTCACTGCTACTGTCAGGAAGCCTAAAGGCCAGAGATGAATCCATGAAGTCCTTGAAGGGGAGGGGAGGGGAACAGGAGGGTGGGCACTGTCGCATAGCCCAAGATTTGCAATTAGAAAAATCCAGCGTGACATTGAGCAGACTACTGTATTTACTTTCTCCTTGTCTCCCAAGACTGGAGATGCCAACACTTACCACACAAATTAAAGGATTAAATGAAGCCCCTTGTACCCAACAACAGTAAGGCTAGTTTCTCTTCTCTCCCCCCTTGTCTCTCGTAGAGCTATACTTTTCCCGACTTCTCTAGTAATACCTCTCTCCGCAGCCCCCAGGGGTAGAAGCCTTCAATGAGAGGTCTGAGGTCAAGGTGCTTGCCACTCATATACTAGTCATTTGAATGGCAGGCCAGAGCTGCATGCTCCGCACCCCTCTTAGCCCCATCACCAGCACCCCCAAGCCACCCACTCATTCTCCTGCTAGGATACGCACAGTAAGGGACTGGTGCTTCACGGAGTGTCATTACATAGAATGCAACGTGACCAGAGCCACTTGGAGCTGGGCAGTGCTGCAGCCCTGCCCGTTACCCTCACAGTTTGCCAGGCCTACTACAGTGGAGGTGCTGGAGAGATGAACTTAACTCCATTCTCCACCTCATCCACTGCAGTAAGGCCCGGAAACATAGTGGAGGTACAAAACAAAGCTTTATGAGGTGTTTATATAAAGTACTGAAACGGATTGCATGTAGTCTTGTACCTCCGGGTGCGTGCAACTAAGGAGTACATAGAGTTACAACTTGTCATAAATAAATTCTCATGTTGTTCATTCGGTTTAGCTCACGTTTTAAGAATGTAGTCCCCTAACTAGCACTGGAAGTGATGGCACTAGTTTATAAGCATCAAATAGTCCCTCTCCAGCACCGGTTTTAAACCATTCCCCAGTCTCTGCTGCACTCTGTACTAGGTTCTGAGTATTGAGACTGTAATCCCATCAAATAATCCTCAATTAGCCTGGCCTCCTGGGAGAAGAGTTTCATTGCCTTTCTTTGATGTCTGTGGCACAGAGCCTACAGTTCTTACTAGACTCTAATCTCCTCTCCCTTTCCCCCCTTTTTTTTTAGTCTAAAGCTAATCTTTGTCTCCTGTCCTCCCCTCCAGATCGACCAATATTCATGTCTTTCTCATCTTTTTCTGTTCTTCTGTTTTGGTTCTTTTTGCCCTTTTACTGGGGGAGTATATCACTGCTTAAGCATCACTATTCTTTCTTTGTAATATCCCACTCATGGCTTGATAATACATATCGATGTATTCTAATTTGTTGAGTGTCAACTATGTGCAAAGCACTAAAGCAGAGTTTTCAGTCCACAGGTTGGAATAGGCAATGCGGACAGTCTTTCCACCAGACCACAAAGAATAAGAAACAGTATTTATTTGAAGCAGTAGTTAGCAAAGACCTTTAGCTAACAGGGAAACAGGGAGATGAATACTTCCAATAAATCCAAGGTACGACATAAAAAGCAGAAAAAAGAGCCCTCTTCTATTTTATGAGTTGTCTTGATAATTTAGAATTGTAACAAGCAAAACATTTCCAAACCTCACATCCACTGTATTATTCGACTCGTGGTCAAACACTTCAAATGCCTCTTTGATTTTTTTGTGAAATTCTGCTACTATTATCTCTGCAAAAGACAAAGTAAATAAAAATCATATTACTTCAATTTTGAATCCAAAACAAAAATTTCAATGACCAAACTAGAAAATCTTAATAAGGAAGAACATGAAGAATGCTTTCCTGATGTTTGTGTGTCATTTAGCACGTCTAACTTCCTCTGGAGGTGTCAAAGAATAGAACAGAGCAGATTCTCTTCTAAAGAATTTTTTTTCTGAGGCATAATACACATATACACTAATCTTAAGTACACAACTTAATGAGTTTTTACAAGTATATATACTTTTGGAACCACTAACCAGATAAAGGTAATAGAATATTTTCTGTCTTTTTTCTTTAATGTTTATTTGCACATATTTGTGGGTGCGTGTGTTGCTTTGATGTGTACATACACTGTATATAGATTCACTTAGGGTAGATAGCACAGCTTTGTACCTGGTAATCCACCACTCCCCCCACCCATCCTCCCTTCTCCTGGTCTCTGGTAACCATTTTTTCACTCTCTACTTTGATGAGAGCCACTTTTTTCTTTTTTTTAGTTTCCACATATGGGTGAGATCATGTGGTACTTGTCTTTCTGTGCCTGGCTTACTTCATTTAACATGATGGTCTCCAGTTCCATACATGTTGCTGCAAATGACAGTATTTCACTTTTTTAATAGCTGAATAGTATTCCATTGTATATATATAGACTACAATTTTTTTTAACCATTCATCCATTGATGGGCATTTAGGTTGATTCCATCTCTTGGCTATTGTAAGTAGAGTTGTAGGTGTCTCTTCAAAATATTTTTTATGTAATTTTTTAAAATTTTAACATTTACTTGTACCTATAAGTGAAGTATAGTGTGTTGTTTCAATACATGCACATACTGCACAATGATTCACTTTGGGTAGATGGCATAGTTTTGTACCTGTAATTTCCTATCTTCTATTTCAAGTAGTTTGGGTAGAGTCCTAGCCTGGGAGGCAGAGTAAATCCAACACGACAGATGTTGTTTGCTTATCAATAGTGTATCCTGCCTGTCCTGCTTTATAGTAGCTGGAGGAGGGCTGAAGTTGGAGGATGAGAGGCATAAAGACTGGCATGTGACAATCCTTCAAAGAGCTTTCAAACTAATTTTGGGACTAAGACTTATTTATAAGAAACAGTCATGCATTCTATGAATACTTATTGATTACTTTGTGCTAGACACTGTCTGGGTGCTAAGGTTATAACAAGAAACAAAATAGACAAAAATCTGCCTCCATAGAGCTATTTTTATTGGGGAAGATATATAAGCTTGTACATATTTGGGGAAATAAATAGTAAGTCAAATGGTGCTGAAAAATAGAGAAAGAAAGAAATCACGGAAGGGACATGAGTTCTGGGGGTGTGAATGGAGGAGAATAGGGTGATATGGCGGTTTGGGAAGGCCTGCCTCAGTGGTAAGGTGACATTTGCGCAGACACCCAAAGGAGGGCAAAGAGCCAGCCTTGTGAATATCTGCAGGAAGAGGTTTTAGGCAGAGAGAGCAGTAAGTGCAGAATAGCAGAAAAAAAGATCAGAAAGGTGTGAGTTTGAGCATGGGGAACAGATTTGAATGAGATAAGGATTCTAAGCAGCAAATGACATGGCCTATGTATATTCACCTTGGCTATTATGTTGCGAATACATTGGAAAGGGACAATAATGGAGGCAGAGAGACCAGTTAAGAGGCTATTGCAATATTCTAGGAGAGCGACTGATGGCGGCTTAGGCCAGGATGGTAGCAAGTGGTTGTGGTGAGAAATGATAAGATTCTGCATATATTCTAAAGGACAGAGCCAGCAAGATTTGCTGATAGATTTGATGTTAGGTGCAGAGAGAAAGAAAGGGCTGACTCCAAGGTATTTGGCTGAGTAGAAGAATAAAGGAAAAAATTACAATCAAGTCTCAAAATGTATCACAGTAATTACACCAGAACACTCAGAAAGGGAATGAGATATTAAGTATGAGTTTAGATAATTATTTTATATCACTTTTTTGAGCGTGGGGGGTTGCTGGCTGGTATGGGGATCCGAACCTTTAACCTTGGTGTTATCAGCACCACACTCTTTCCAAGTGAGCTAACTAGCCAGCCCTAGAGAATTATTTTAATTATAAATATAATACCACCAGACAGTAGAAAATGGGAAATTTTTAAACCACTCACATTCTCTTTACCCTAATATAACTGCTAATAATTTTGCCGTATTTTCTTCCAACCTTTCTTCAGACACATCCTTTTATATAGAGCATTTAATAACTACCCTTCATTCATTCAAAAAATATCTACTGGATAAACACTATGTACCAGATTATGTGTCAGGTGCTTTATATACATTTACAGCCACAGAAGAAAGTATCCCATTCTCAGAAAAAAAAAGATATCAAAGCTCAGAGACGTTAAGCAACTTGCCCCAAGATGACAGAGTTATTAAGTAAGCAGAGCTGGACTGAGCCTAGATTCTTCTCACTTAAACAATCCTGCCCTTCTCCCCCCTACCACCCACTTAACTAGCTGTTAGGACTCATAGTATAAAAACTATAACTCCTGGGCCGGCCCGTGGCTCACTCAGAAGAGTGCGGTGCTGATAACACCAAGGCCACGGGTTCGGATCCCATACAGGGATGGCCGGTTAGCTCACTGGGTGAGCGTGGTGCTGACAACACCAAGTCAAGGGTTAAGATCCCCTTACCGGTCATCTTTAAAAAAAAAAAAAAACAAAAAAAAAAACTATAACTCCTAATTATTTTACTCAAATGTTATATTTTTCCAGGTTGCAACATAATCTATTGTATTAGTCCATTTCTGTTGCTTATAACAAAATATATGGAACTGCGTATTTTATAAAGAAAACAAAGTTTATTGCTTACAGTTTCAGAGGTTGAGAAGTCCAAAGTCCAAGGGACACATCTGGTGAGGGCCTTGGTGGTGGGGACAGTGACCCAGGGGTCACATGGCAGAAACTGGCAGAGCAGAGAGAAACTAACCTCTCATGTGCTCTCTTTTAAAGCCCTCTGAGCCACACCCCTGACCACCATTATTAATGCATTCACTAGGGCATGGTCCTGCAAACTAATCACCTCGCCAAGGCCCCACCTTTCAATTACCATAATAGGATTTCCCACCCTCAACAGTTACAGTGGGGATTAAGTTCCAGTGGGGTTGGGGGTGGGGGACAGCAATCTACAGAATTCACATAACCCTCCATTTTTAACAGTACCAAAGGAATGTACCACAATTTACTGATATTATTAATTTTTCTTTATGATAAATAACATGGCAGTGAACAACTTTCACTAATTTAATAAGTAAAAAATGAACATTACCTCTTATTTAACTTTAAAATTCTTTGATTACAAGTGAGTCTGAATAATGATCTGTGTTTGTTTACCATCTCTATTATGAATTGTCTATTCATGTTCTCTGCTCATCCCCACTGGGATATTCAATTGTTTAAAAATTTTTATGAGCTCTTTCAATAATAAAGACTTAACCCTATGTCAAAATCACTGCAAACAATTTTCCAGATAATTTGTTTGCATTTTTTTTCTATAATTAAAATAGTTCCATTTTCTTTCTGATCATCAAAATCATATACTATTATGTGAGGGGAAAAAAGGCTATAGAAGAAAGTTTGAATTAAGTAAAAATCATTACAAATCCTACCATCCAGCGTTAACTACTCTTAATGTTGTTCTCTAATCTAAATTGTGAGCATCTTTCCTTCTCAAATAATATTACATCATCACTTTCAGTAACTGCTTGGTATTCCATCATAGAACTTTATCAAAATTTATTTAACCAACCCCCTAATTGTTGATATGTAGGTTGTTTCCAATTTTTCATTACTATAATCAATTCTTTTGTGAACAATCTTGCCCAATTCATCCCTGTGCATTTGTCTTATCTCACTGAAACTCAATGAGTTGGACACGGTTGAACTTGTGTAGGATATTGGGAAGGTTCTTGTTAGTTGTAATAGTATGTTGGGAAAATCTCTCTGGTTACAACACTGCCACTGCACAAAGGTGATGTTTGATTTTTAAATTTTTTTTTTTTTTAAAAGATGACCGGTAAGGGGATCTTAACCCTTGACTTGGTGTTGTCAGCACCACGCTCACCCAGTGAGCAAACCGGCCATCCCTATATGGGATCCGAACCCGTGGCCTTGGTGTTATCAGCACTGCACTCTCCTGAGTGAGCCACAGGCCGGCCCTGATTTTTAAATTTAAGATCATTTTTAAAGTACATTATCTTTTGGGCCGGCCTGGTGGCGCACTTGGTAGAGTGCGGTGCTTGGGAGCGTGGCGGCGCTCCCGCGGAGGGTTCGGATCCCATATAGAGACGGGTCCGCTCACTGGTTGAGCACGGTGCAGGCGCGACACCGAGGGTTGTGATCCCGTTGCCAGTCGTGGTACGGGTGCAACACTGAGGGTTGCGATCCCGTTACCGGTCACGAAAGAAGACAAAAAAAGGAAGGAAAAAAAAAAAAGTACATTATCTTTTCTTTTTAGATAGTCACATCTGTTGAAAATCTCTTCTCATCCTCTAAAGTTTAGAAAGTTATCTTTTGAAAAGACCAAGAGGAAAAGAGAGAATCATCCTTTTTCTAGAGGTCTGGAAATACTCAACTCTACTTTATTCTACAGTTTACAAATATATTTACTCTTTAATCCATCTGAAATTTATTTAGACATGTGATTCAAAGAGAAAGATTAAATTAACTTTTTCTAATTCACTAAACACTTGATTTCTTTCCTTCTACTTTATAATGTACTAAAGTCTTTTATGTGATTGAGACTATGTCTCTTGATCGTCCATTGTATTGGTCCATTCTGATTTGCATTTCTAGTCTTGAGCCATTACTGTGTTATTTTGTTTATTGACACTGTATTAGTCTCTTTTTCGGGATGTTCATTAATATTTCCATCAGTTTATTCTTCCAAATGAAATATAGAAATCCAAATAGGATTGGCTCTAGTTCAGCAGTTCCTTCAACAAA